CTGTACAAAGGAGAAGGTCACATAGTGTGTATACATTGTACTGCTGCACTGCGGTGGCAGAGGAATGATCTTCGACATAAAGGAGATTGCGGACAATTTGACGTGGCAAGAGAACAGCATCATAGAGTAAGAAATCAGTAATATCAATCATGGCACGGACCATGACACCGTCGTTCCACACCTCCCAATGGTCAGAGGCATGTACAATAGCCATGTAATGGCCAGGCCCRTGCACAATGCAGGCAGAGATGTGGGATGGAGGATTAAACAACTCACCTGGTAGAGCATGGCGTAGTTCAAGCTGGCGGTTCCTCATCGCTATTTCTACGACAGCAATGGTAAAACCTCCTTCCCTGGTGTAATTACGATGCTCTGGCTGTAGGTCGGGGGGATCAGCGAGATAAGCGAGATCAACATCAAGTTGTAGGGCAATTGCAAGGAAATCCGATGGTGTATACAACGGCCGATTGAGAACGTGAAGGCAGCTATTAGTTGCAGTCAGACCACAGAGATTGGCGGGGATCTCAGCCTGGTTTGGTTGGTCAGTCATTTCTAGATCACCCGTGGGGTCTGCGCAGGGTGGTGCACAAGTATGCGGTTCATCCATATGATCCTGGTCAGCCATTTGCAAATCCCTCGTGGGGTCTGCGCCATGTGGGATTAAATACAGTCCAAGCAGATCATGTTCCAGTCCCTCAGCGTTCGGGGCCACACAGGGTGGGGCACAAGTATGCGGTTCATCCATATGATCCTGGTCAGCCATTTGCAAATCCCCCGTGTGGTTTATGCCTTGCAGGGTTAAATGCAGTCCGAGCTGATCATGTTCCAGGCCCTCAGCGTTCGGGGCCGCATGTTGTACAGCTGGGGGACAAACGAACATGGAAGGGCATAAAACATGGTGCTGTGGCTGTGTGCAAGCAGTTGGACTGTCTGCAGGAGGCATAGGAGCGGATGTATCCRTTTGGGACAACGGAACCGCAACAACCTGTGGAGGAGGCACAGAGAAAATTGGGGTAGGCAAAGAAGCAGGCCGCTGATCCCTGGCCAAGTGGCGATGTTGTGCATGTCGTCGACGATGATACACAATAAGAGGAGTGGCGATGTTTCTAACAGAAGATGAGGATGTCACTGGCAATGAAGGCGGAACAATGGGAAGAATAGAAACCGAAGAATCGGTTCTCAAACGAGACCGTGGAGGAGATGGGGGTGGCGAGGAGGAACGCAGYCGTCTGCGGCCAAGCACAAAAAGGAATGAAAGGGGGGTGGATTGGGCAGGATGTCGGAACATAGGACGGGAGTGTCGGGCTGGGGTAGAGGAAGCTATACCAGTAAAAACTATAGCATGAGAAATTCGAGGTACAGAAGCAGAGGAAGTGGTAAAAAGTGGAACCGCAACAAAGACAATTGTTGTAGCAGGAACCGCAGTGGTAAAAAGTGGAACCGCAACAGAGACAACTGTTGTAGCAGGAACCGCAGCAGAGGCAACTTCCGTAGCAGGGACCGCAGCGGAGGCAACGTCCGTAGCAGAAACTGTCGGAGTGAAACCCGGAGTTGAAACAGCAGCAGTAGAAACTGCAGCAGTGGAGACCACAGCGGTGCAAGCGGCGGCGGTGGGAACCGCAACAGTGGGAACTGCATTAGCAGCAGATGAACAAGCAATGACAGAACGAGAGCGATGTGGGGATAAAGAAGAAAGTGGGTGATGCAAGGACCATCGCAGCATGCGTCGGAACCACTGAGAGAGACGGGTGACGTGTGTAGGATAGCGACGTTGGCGGGACCGTGTGTAGCAGGTCCATCCTTTAGCGAGGGTTGGTGGGGAATGGCCACAAGAAAGCATGCGACGAGTGAGTGTTGTCGCTGCAATTCGGAAGTCCTGCCAATTATTGCAGATGCGTTCAAATTTGGTCAATTGCCCAGTGAACACACCKRCCGGTTKATGGGAAGGGATGTTGGAGGTAGCACTTGGATAGCGAATAACAGGGAAATCCCAAGCAGCCGCTTTATCAAACACGCTCATGCGAAGCGAACCATCAGAATGCACCCGTAGATGCATACCTAAAAAGGTACACGAGCCATCTGTAGCCGTAGTTTCCTTCCACTCGAGCCCATAGTGCTCTGAAGGAGGAGGTAATTGCCCCCATGAAAGAACATCATCAATGAGGCGATAAGTGAAGGCGTATCGCTGAGCAGCTTGGGAATCATGTTGACGAATGTCATCAATAAAGCGTGCTTCAACCCAATAGAGCGTTAGATTGGAGATTTTTGGGCCAGCATTTGTTCGCATTGGAATACCAATGATTTGCTTTCGAAGAGTACCATCTCTAGTGTACAGAAAAGTGTTTTCTACAACAAAGCGAAGGTGTTGGAGAATCTGAGAAACGGAAAGTTTGTCTGGTCCTGAATCGGTTGTCCATTGGCCAGAGCAAGGCCCGCGAATAAACATGTTCAAGGCTCTGCAGCGCGAATGCATGCGGGTATGATGAAGGGCATAACATATAATATATATCGTCACAAACAGAACTGCCCGGTAAACCGTAGGCAGAGAGAGAGAAGAGGACAACAAACGAGGGGCTGTGACAAACTGTTTCGTCGGAGTTTCACCGACTCATCA